CAGGGCATTAATAGAACAAGCATCAATAAACAGGATCTGACAGTGCTGGGCAACTTGGCATGTGCTGTGAGCAGTGATGTCATCAGAAACTCAGACCCAGAAATCCTTGAGAACTTGAAGAACTGCAAAGATCTCTCAGATTCACAAATATCAGCCATGCAAGATCTTCTTGTGAAGGGAACGTCAAAATATGGGCAAGTTGATTTCTTGATTTAAAAAAACATTTGAGTCAACTTATGATTATTCCAGAGAATCGTATTTTCAGTCCTGATTCTGTGCATTAGTTAAAAAGTGCACTGGTTATGGTTGTGTGGTAATGGAAGATCATGTCTCTACTATTTAGACCAACAAGCAAGTGGAATCAGAAAACACTTGATGATCTGGGAATTCTGCCTTTGTACTTCTCAGAAAGCTTTTGGCGATCATTCACAGAGGTACATTACATGTGAACATCAAACACAGTTGAGCTACACTGTAAAAATGTGTTGTTTTTTAACAGGAAAATACTATTTCAGTCTCTCTGCTTCAAATTATCACATTTGATTCAATGTGCTATTTGCATTTCTTTGTAATCATTTGTGACCCTGGACCACAAAACCAGTCATAAGGGTCAATTTTTTGAAATTGAGATTTATACATCATCTGAAAGCTGAATAAATAAGCTGTCATAACAAAATGTTTTGTTATGATAGGACAATATTTGGCCGAGATACAACTATTTGAAAATTTGGAATCTGAGGGTGCAAAAAAATCTAAATACTGAGAAAATCGCAAAGTTGTCCAAATGAAGTTCTTAGCAATTCATATTACTAATCAAAAATTCAGTTTTAATATATTTACAGTAGGAAATTTACAAAATATCTTCATGGAACATGATCTTTACTTAATATCCTAATGCCAATCAATAATTTTGACCCATACGATGTATTTTTGGCTATTGCTACAAATATACCCCAGCGACTTAAGACTGGTTTTGTGGTCCAGAGTCACATTTGTGAAATCTACTAGCAATTTTCTGAGTGAAAATTGTTTAAAATCCTACACCAAATGTTTCTGAGTGTCACGATGTCTTTAACCTTGTGTTATTTTTAAATCTCCCTCTTGTTTTAAACAGAGTGATTTAGCCAAGTTCTTTAAAACCTTCCTTAAATTTGTGCGTGGACGAAACACACCAAAGCCACAACTGAAAAAGCTGTTTAAAGCAATCATTATAACCCCAATCAGAGCCAAGAGGGCAGGTATGCCATCTTAATCTTTAATTCTCAAATAATTCTCAAATCTCTACAGTTAAGCAATATTACACTGTCATTCATGATGTTGTACTGAATACTGAATCAGATGGCTGTCATTCGACCTTAGGCAATGATATGTTCAATAACATTTTTTTTTAAAAAGAGTTAATAGCTACCTTATTTTTCGACATGGAAGTAAACTGTTTACTTTGAATGTGTGAGACTTCTGATTCAATAACCACTATAGATAAATAAATAGAAGACTAACAAAGTACAGTAAATGGTCAAACTATTTGCACTTCAACCAGTGTGTTTATGATGATAAGTCAAAATAAAATGATAACAGATACCAGTTTACAGTATCAAGCAGCACAACAGAGTGTTTAGTAGAGCTAAAATAACTAGATGCGAATGACACCGGAAGCCTCGCACATTAGTTACAAAGTTACAATTAGCCGCAACCACTCTTACATTAAAAAATAAGGTGGACAGAGTAACTTTTAACCACAAAATTTCCTAAATCATGTAATTCACTTGTGTTCCAAGCGAGTGACTGTACTAAGGGCAACATCACTAGTCTTACCATCAGCGATGATGCCTTCCCCTTTGGATATGATGAGGTGCAGTTCGGCCACTGTCTGAGTTCAACCGTAGTGAAGGACAACCTCGCTAGCCTGTGTGAAAAAATTGAGGATAGTGCCTTTCAGAGAATCATTTTGGACAAACTCAAAGAGGTAATATGACATGTATTAAAATCTGGTCAAATCTTTCAGGACAGTTTTAATGTGTTGCTCTTGTCCATCAGATACTGCCAAATGGCCTTTCAGATGATCAGGTCCAGGTGCTGAAGTCCGTGTCTAGGAACGCAACGATGGCCGAAATAAGTAAATGGAACATCACTAAACCCGACACACTGGCAGCGCTTATGAATGCCAATGATGGCGAATGGTCCTCTGCACAGGTGCAGATTTTAACATGAATTTTCAGATGACTCTTTCTTATTTTACAGATGCAAAATATTCGGTTTTGTGTTAATGTGTTCATTTATCTTTCAGAGCGAACTAATCATTACCAAATACCTAAACACCAGCAACAGTCTGACCGTCACTGAGCTGAATCTAGTGAAAGGACCAAATCTCTGCTCTCTGAAGGCCAGCATATTGTCAACAATATTACCTGAAAGTATACGGTAAAGAAAAGTTCCATTACACAAGTCTTCAGTGTCACATGATCCTTCAGAGATCATTCAAATATGCAGATTTGCTGTTTGAGAAAAATTAATTATTATCAATGTTGAAAACAGTCGTGCTGCTTAAAATTTTGGTGGAAGCCATGATATTTTTCAAGATTCTTTGATGAATAGAAATCTCAAAAAAATGTGTAACATTATAAAAGTCTTTACTGTTACTTTGATCAGTTTAATGCCACCTTGCTGAATAGAAAAAATATCACTGACCCCAAACTTTTGAAAAGTAGTGTATATATATTTTCGTTTCTTGCATAGTTTTACATGTTTGCATGCCATTTAGATGCTTAATCACCAGATTCCTTTTTATTATCCTCAAAAACAGGGAGTCCGATGCCTTGGATGTGTCAAAATGTTCATCTGAGAAAAAGAAGGCACTCTTCACCATCGCTAACAAAGCATTTCCCATGTCCCTCGCAAGAGATCAACGCACCATCCTGTCAGCCTTCCAGCTCATTGAAACCTATCTTGGTCAGAACGGCCTTCAAATGTCATTTCAAGCCTATTGAATGCACATACACCTTGACACATACACATACACATGCGCATAAACAATTCAGAATGATGTCCGTCATCATGACAATTTTAAAATACCAGCTTTGGTTTGCACAGGGATTCAGAGACAATTAGTTCCCAGTAAGTATTTGCTATTTTGTTTGTTTTGTAGGAGGTGCAGATCTAGGCTACATTAGGAATCTGTCGTCATATAATGTCAGCATGAGCCTGTCCACTTTTATGATTCTGGATACAAACGTGATCTTGGTGAGCAAAGAAACACACTTTGTATTTTTATTTTATTTTATCCATTTATGTGTTCATCATAGATGCACTGTTTAATGTACACATTTGTTTCGATAACACAGCATCCCCTTGTTATGTGTTCCAGAGCCTCAACATAGCAGAAGTAGTGGGTCTTCTTGGTAACAATTTGCAGGATCTAAAAACATTTGAAAACCAAACAGCCGTGCGAAGCTGGATCTCGCTGCAGTTACAGTCAGAGCTGGATAAACTCAATCTCACTCTGACTGGAGGAAAAGCAACAGCAGACACAACAACTGCTGCCCCGGTTACATCTAGCACCACTGTAGTAACGACAGCTACGACTGTTACCACTGTTAAAACTACTGCAGGCGCTCCAGGTGAGGTGTCACGCACACTGTAAAGATATGTGTTTCAAAAACAAAATACTTGAACACTGTTCACAGAGTATCTGATTCAGTTTTTAAATGCTGAAGTCTATTAGAAATCATTAATTACCTCTTTGTTGTTGTCATGTTTATTTTTCTAGGAATTGGACCCAGTGGATGGACAGTTTCCTTCAGCATTTTTATACTCATATTTACCATCATCAAAGTGGAGATTATATAGCAGCACTGACCCCAAATTAGCCACACTGTAATCTTACCAAGATGATATATCTGTGAGACTCTGCAGATGAAGGAATATAATCTGTTTATAATCACACATTTCTTTGTCATCCTATTGTTCATCGATTCATATTTTTTCCTTAGTGTACATGACAAATTGTCAAAAAGGAATGCTGCACTAATAGTCAAAACAAAGGATATGTAGCGTGTTGATTGAAATACTTGTACAACTGTCTCAAACTATAAAACGTCTATCTTTAAGTGTTTCGGACATTTAGAATCATATGAATTCCTTGTGCTTTTCTTGAATATGACATAAAAATGTAAATTGTTCTATGACTGGTACCTGTTTATTTGTGATCATAACTAATAATGTAAAATGTAGTCATACAGAGTTTAATAAAAGCTACTCTATGATGAACAAAACAGCTATTCGATTTGATTCTTTCTTCGCAGGTCTTTACAGTAGTTTATAAAGAAACAATGAATCAGAATGTAGGTAGGTGGTATAGGTATCTTCCTCCCTACCGTCCTTTAAAACCAAGATGAGCTTGAATAAAATATAAAAAAATATTGAATTATGGTCTCTAAAAAAAGAATCAGATTGTCCATTAGACAGGAAGGATTTGTTCAAGAAAATGTATTCGATTTTATACATGTTAAAAACGTAAGGTATGAGGATAGTGGTTTCAGAACCCGTGGTGGATATAAAGACAATGACAAGGAAAAAGATGATAACATAATGATGAACAATAATTCTACAGCATTTATTAATCTATTGATAGTTAATGTTAATTCCAACATTTACTAATGCATTATTAAAACCAAAAGGTGTGCTCGTTTAGTGAATGCACTATGAATTAACATGAACTAACAGTGAACAACTGTATGTTCACTAACATTAACAGATTAATAAATACTGTAATGAATGTATTGTTTGTTGTTTGTTCATGTTAGTTAATACATTAACTAACATTAACTAATGGAACCTTGTTGTAAATTGTTACCAATATTCTATAGGCCTATAGTGTATTAAAATGACAAAATAAAATCGTCTCTATTTACAACATTAACATCGACAACATTAACTCACACATTTTGATTTTACTTGTTTCTACAGTAGAATATAATATAATGTGTGCCTTTATTTTGAAACAAATCGTCACGTCCGGATCTTTTGTTCTTTCACGCGTCTGAAAAACAGCGCGTTTTTAACCAGCCCTGAAGATGATGGGAAGCAGCTTTCTGAGTGCGGATAGAGCTCGCAGTCCTCCAGTGAAAGTGTTGTCCAGCCAGCTGCGTGAAGGGACAGAGTGCCAGACAGCAGGCGGAAGGTCCGAGTATGTTATCAGACGACTGGGCCCCGGTGAGCAGCGCTCGTTACAGGTGTCCGTGGTCTGGATGCAGGGGACTGTGCTGGAAGTGCAGTCCGATCACAACACCGTGCTCATTCTGGACGAGACCGGGAACTTTGTAGTCAGCGGCATTAACAGCGTGCCGAAAGGAAAACCCTGCCTGAGTGCCGGTTAGTAGCTTTTTAAAGGCAGCTCCTATCATATTTAATTAGGTTTCCTGAGGACAACTTTTTTCTGATGTTCAAGCACATATTTTCACTGGGTCTTTATTGACGAAGAGAAAAATGTACAAAAAGTGAATAAAATATACGGTTAGTTTTTTTGTTTTTGTATTCACATGTTCTATGTGACAAAAACCGCAACTCATGAATATTAATTAGGTCACGTGAGTGACAAATACACAAAGTAAATATTTTAAGCATTGAGGTATTCTTCTATTTTTTTACTTTTGAATTTGCATTTGCTTGGAGTTCTCAGATTTACAAAGACAACAAAGAGAGGTGGTTTTTTTTTAACCCACAGGTAAATATGTCATGGTTATGGGTGTCATCCAGTCACACAGTCCAGAGCCGGTGCTGCGTGCTGTGAAGATGGCAGATCTTTCTGAAAATGCTGTGATTCACAGGAAAAACTGGATCTATGAAGTAGAAGATCTCCAGCAGATTTTGCCCTAAATCTTTGTTTGTTTCATGAGACTGATGCGATTGTTTTTGTTCTGGTGCATCGTTTATAATATTTGCCAAGCAAACAGAGGGAACAAACAGAAATTGCATTGCATATACACAAAAGGACTTTTAAGTGCGAAAGCATATATATATTTATATAATAATTTTCTACATCAATTTGATTACAGAAAGAAGAACTTTTGAACTGTAATTATGCATAAATGTTACAGAGATTTAAAAAAAAGATTAAACTTATACTAAGTTAAATCACAGTTTACAATGAAAAGACAAGTATGTTAAGGTATATATATATATGTGTGTGTGTGTGTGTGTGTGTGTACGAATACATGTCAGTGTGGCACAGATAGTGAATTAACTCTGGCTAAAGAATGAATTCAATGCAACTTTTTCCCATTATAAATACATAGTCGGTATGCTACACAACTCATTCACATGTTCTGCAGCGGCTTCACATTCTCTTGTGGACTCCTAAAACGCTGCTGCAGTTCGGACAGTGGTGTGTCACATCCTTCAGGCTGTCCACACAGAAGGGAATCAGGCAGCAGCCATAGATACATCTAGAACATGGGAGACATGAACAGAACAATCAGGGGAGTGTCTTTGTGTATATTATTAACAGTGTATATTATGTAATGCTTCATCTAACCCAAAAATGGCCAGGCCTGCACAAGAGAGCCAAGCTAGTGCTCCTGATGTATACTCCAGGCGAGTTATCACGTTCTGTGTGCATACTGGGCAATGTGCCTGCACTGGAACACTTCCAAACGTCAGACCAGGCTGAACATACACGGTCTGAACAGAAACTTAAGTACAAAAACAAGAAAGCTTAGAAATACTGTGCAACATATGTTTACTATTATTCAAAGCCATAGATGTCTTATACATTAACTGTTCAAATATCAGGGTCTTAACAAAAAAGATGTGCTGGAATCAGTGTGTATGAATGTAGATTTTAGTCGATGGAAATGTACTTTTTTGTTTACAAAAAAACAAAACATTAATATGGTAAATAACTGTAAGGCTAAGGGAATACATTTTATTGAATGTAACTCTTTGTTAAAATATGTAATGTAAGATATATTTGGCAAATTAAAAATATTTTAAATATGATTTATATAAAAGAAAAATTGATTGTTTGAATTTAAATGAATTATATTAAAATATATTTAAAAGTTAAAATTATATAAAATATATAATGAATAATTGTTTAAATTATGAACAAAATTATTTTTAAATAATAATAATAAATATATATATATATATATATTGTAAATCCTTTTATAAAATAAAATGAAATAATTGTTCAAATTTATATAAATTATAATATATATATATATTCAAATAAATTGTATTAAATATAATTTCTTATATAAAAAATAAAGCCAGCAAGACAAATGCAGATCTGAACTACATGCAGAAAAAAAACAAATATGCTTGGGTTTAACTGGAAAAACCAGATTCAACCAGCTTCTGTTTTTAGCTTGTCCAAGTTGGTTTATGTGGTTAATCAACAGCACTACCAGTTGATGGGGTGGAAGTCAATCAGGTTAGTCTTTAGATAAATCTCTACATTATTTGTATCTTTTGAGTGATGTATACAACCTTTTTCTTATAAATACTTGAGTTTTAAAATGTGTGATCGGAAAAAGCCATGGTGGAATAAGAGTAAGGCTATTACCAACAGGACAGGTGGCAGATTGACCTTGTTGGGGTGGTGGTGGATACATCGGGCTGTACAGTTGTGTTGGATAAGGAGGTACAGATGTCTTCATATCTGGAGCTGGAGCATAGGGCATTGGTGGGTACTGTGGGTTTGCTACCAATGCCTCCTCATACGATGGAGGAGGCGGGTGTCCCACAAATGTTGATGTCTCTAGTGGGGGTGCGCTTGCCATCGCCTTGATGGGTGCTTTAAAAACGACAACAAACAGCTTTTTAGTAAGTATACGGTTATTATATTATAACGTTATTCATAGTCTTGCCCAATTCTCGATGGGTCCGAACTTCTCTGAAGCAATCGCGCTTTTAAAATACATGTAAACTACAAATACCACGTTCAACACGAGAAATAAGTGTTTAGAGTTGTAACTTAAAACCTCGAAACAATAAAGCGACGCTCGAACAAAACAAATAAGCAGAAAATAACTTGGAATGAGAAACACTTACGGTTAGTGTCGTTTATTCAAGAACACACTCACGAACGATCCGACAAAAACGTTTCCTGCTTAGTTTTGTTACGCACTTGCTGTATTTCCGCAACTGAGATGGGTGGGCTGAACTCTCTTATAAGATTATCAGACCAAAACAGGACACTTTAGACCATAAGAGCTGTACATAAAGTCAATATGTAAGTTATATCTCAATAGATGTAGTAAGTAGCGATTGAGAGGTTTTTTGAGAAATGGGAAAGTTCCCTCAAGTTCCGGTCACATATCTCTCGTGATAATTCAACTCAGTTCAGCTAACAACTGCTTTGTTTATGTTTAGCGTTTATTATTTTCTAGGTTTAACAATCTATATTAAACGCCTTTATATCAATACTTAACTTTTGGCTTGACTAGCATATGTGCAATTTATTTGTTATTGTTGTTTTTTCTTTAATCACAATCAAACTTTATTTGCAATTGCATGAATATATAAAGTATCAGTAGTACAAAATAATAATAACAAATCAAACATAAAACGTGCATTTACACGCCCTTTCTCTGAAAGACATTCAAGTAAAAAGGTAAAACCTTTGGTATTTGTGAGTAACGTAAAAATGATTAATTTATATAAATGTATTATTTTTATTATAATGGACGTGACTGTGTTTCGCCTTTTCTATTTTTATCTTTTTCACCCAAGGGACTTAGAAAACAAAAGTGCACGTATTAAAAATGGCTTCTGCAGAATCATGTGCGTAGGTGCGAAGATATAGTAATATACAATGTTTCATATTCATAAATAAATAAGTGAATCTCTTTCCATTTGTCTGTGAATGCAAAACAAATGTCACGCATAGGAAGACCATGTACTACATCCGCCTGTCTGAGCGCCGCCTCTACTGGTTAAAACACCATTGCTTTTAGGCTATTTGATTGGATATTTGCCCTTTTCAGCCGTGATCTCATTTCCTATACAGTGACAAGCTATGTTTATTTATTTTTTTATTTGATCTGCTCGGGCTGGAAATGTAAGCGACTGGTTTTAGATGTTGCTGTATAAGTTATAACACAACAGCTGGATCACTGGAGACGGACGGAGTGTTTCTGCAGCTGAGCGTCAACTCTCGCCAACACACGAAACGGTTCGCAAAAGTACATAAGCGTTATTCTTTGATAAACAAAAAAAGCGGCCTAGTTTTGGTAAGCTTTAAATGATTTTGTCCCTTAATTTTATATCAGTAATTGTCCAGACAAAAAACGGTCTCCATTCAGGGCTTGTTTAGATCGCATATAAATGGCTACTCTCTTTCTGTTCCAAAGCATTGTTTGGGGGGGAAAAAACAAAACAAACCCGGCTGCAACGATACTTGCTGCAGCCGTTTTCGTAGATGGTTAGCTCTGTGTTGCATGAACGTCGTAAAGCCTTTCAGCGAGCGTCGCGTCAGCGCCAGCGGACAGGCGTCGTGCCACTCTCAAGATGGAAAGTCTTGCCAAGATGCCCGTCTCAAAAGCGTTGCATAACCTGTGGCTTCATGAAGGAACCATGACACGAGCAATAATGGCTGGTAAAGCTGTATGAAACGTTTCTCAAGAAAGAGTGAGAGCTGATGGGAGAATCGAAGCTTTCGAAACTTTCAATCAATTGAACCAATTACTTGGCTAAACGATTCACTGTTTCGAAACCCCACACGAAAACTTGGGCCAAAAAAAAAAATGCATACAAAAAAAAAAAACCACATTTTACAAAGTAATTGTAAATGTTTTATTGGAAGTCTAATCTGTTAAATGCTATTAACAATACCAATAACAATGAATTGTCTGTATAATATGAATTATTATTAAATTGTAGCGTTTGTTTTGTCTGATTTATGGAGAGCTTGGTTAATCAGGCCAATAAGAAACTAACTATCACACTTGCTTTTTATTATACAAATGTGTCATTAAAAATGTCCACAAATGTATAAAACTGATCCAAGAGCAGGTAAAAGCAATATAGACACTGGTTCATGTGTTTGCAGACGTTATTCGAGAAATTTCTAAAGGGTTATGCTGTAACGAAACCTAGATGGCTGAAATCACGACTTGTTAAGTGCTTTGAATGTCTGCTTTGAAACATGCGTTGCAAAGGGTTTGAAGCTTCATAAAGCAGTTGTCAAAACAGTGAGAACATTTTCAGGAAGTTACACCGAATATGTGCTTATTGTAGAATCATCCTGATTCTTGTCTTTCAGATGTAGCCCAAACCTACAAGAACTCTGCAGAACTGCCTCTCATGGACTTTTGAAGGCCTGTGGTTGAACTTCTCCTGACTGACAGGATGTCCATCACGGACCATAGCCCCACCACTGGGGTCGTCACAATTATTGTAATACTCATTGCCATTGCCGCACTAGGGGCTTTAATTCTTGGTTGTTGGTGCTACTTGCGGCTGCAGCGCATCAGTCAGTCTGAAGATGAGGAAAGCATTGTCGGTGAAGGTGAAACTAAGGAGCCCTTCTTACTGGTCCAGTATTCGGCCAAAGGCCCGCGGGTGGAGCACAAGACCAAGCTCACCCCTAACGGCACGGAGAGCCACACCTAAGTCCTCTCATCTCCCTTCACAGTGCATACTGTGTAGTGGGTCGTGTTTGTAGACTCCTGTCAGTCTTAAAGCATTTCAAACCTTACAGTGTCACTCAACACTGAAATGAAACCACTCCACCTTTTAAACAAGCTGAAGAACAAAGACAAACCTAGTGCATGCAGTTGTCTAGTTGCCTTGACTTGATTTTTTTTTCGCTCATTTTGTGGTGGTAGAGCCCTGTTATAATGTGAAATCGACAACTGTCAAGAGTTTTGTGCAATGCTGTTTGTAAAGCCGTAACTGAGTTCTGAAGCTAAATCAAGACTGATTCTGTTTCTTTGGAGTTTTTACTTTATTTTTCATCCAGAGCTGGCTCTGGGGTTAAGAAATTCAACACAAATTTTAATGGACTGATTTCACATCCATATCAAAATGTTAGATGGTTTTGGGGCTTTTTATCCAGTTCATTCCATTTACTTTTAAAAATAAAGGTTCTTTATTGGCATCTGTGGTTCCATGAAGAACATTTAACATCCATGGCATCTTTCCATTCCACTAAAGGTTCTTCATAGTAGAAAAAAAGGTTATTTTAAGAATTGTTCACTGAAATGTTTTTGGGAAACAAAAAAAGGCTTGTTCTGTGGCATCGCTCTTTTTGAACCTTTATTTTTAAGTTTTGAATTGCAATACAAAAAGAAACGTTTTTCATTACAAATAAGATCTTCAGGATACCATAACTTGCCAAATTATCTAAACAGGCTTTTGAAAGCTCTTACATTATATTTAGTCATGTTTAGAATCATAGTTTCATTAGCACTTTTTATCTTCAATGTGTGACATACAAGTGATTTTGTAAACAGCGTTTGCTGGTTCTGGTTTAAACCTGCTAGGGAACCACTATAAGAACGAAAGCCAATGACTGAGGTCTTTTTATTCTTGTTGAATACTATTGTGACCACAGAGGCTTTTGTTTTTCGTGGTTGAGCACATTTCTAAATTATGAGAAGTCATTTGAAAGTGTAAATATTATTTTTATAGATGGCTTAATGTGCAACTGGATACTGAAATGTCATTGTCTTGAGTTTTTAACCTTTTCCTTCACAGTGTTTTTTCGTGATATCGCAGTGTTTGCTGTTTGTACATGTAAGATGAAAGCGAGAGAAATGATTTATTTTTATACAATATTCATGCAAATGTTGTCTATAGAAGCAAAATCAACAGTCAGGCATATAGATGAAGCCTGAAAATGCAGCTGAAGTGATTTCACTAATATCAGATTTTTAGGGTTCCGTCATACATTTGAAGTCGACAGATTTGTTTGTGTATTGTGATGTTCGATATAAAGAAAAAAAACAAGGACAGTACATGCATGTTAATTTAATCTGCATATTTGAGAAAAAGCAACTTTTTATCAGTAAAGCACTTAGTATATTGCTTATGCCACTCCAGCCAGTGTGTCTGTCCAGTGTTTGACTGTACTGAACAATAAAACCTCTGTTACTAGGGAAATGCCTGCTTGTGAGTTTCATGTGCATTTGCAACTTTTCTATCCTAATGTAAGAACTCTTCTGTTAACTCTTGAAATATTATGCATAAGTGATAAGCATTTATGGACAGTTTTTTTTATGGGGGGCAGAGTCAAAAGTAAACATTTTTATATGGTATATTATTTTATTTTTATATTAATTTAAACAATTATATTCATTTAGTAACATAAATATATCTTAGAGTAGGCTATATCTTTAGAGTTTTATAATTCATTATCTTCTTGTCAATCCACCAGTTCACATTTACAACTGCGTGTTTTCTGCGTAAAAATAAGGGTCGTTTTTGGCTTTGGTCTAAAGTTTATTTATTCCTGTGATGCAAGGCTGAAAATTCAGCATCATTACTCCAGTCTTCAGCATCACATGATCCTTCACACCAGTTTCATTAGATCAAATAAGCGTTTAAATTCAAATAAAATAAAATAATCATTACAGGGAATGCACAGCAGATCCAACCCATAAAGCATGCATTAAGATACAGAGATGCAGCTGGCAGGTCATCGCCTATTCTACACGTCTTGACATATAATTCGCCAACAGTATGCCAATTCCTCTTTTCAATTTTCATTAATACACACACTGTTATGGTAGTAATTCCCTACAGCTTTGCTTTCAGGAACTATGGAAACTGAAAAGACAACGACTTTGTGTTTACGTAGGTCCATATATAACACCAACAGGCATTAACACAGCAACCACACAACATAGTAATTCGGTGTGGATGTAGAACAACAGAGATTCAGGACCCAACATTCCAAAACAAATCGCAGTTAAGAAAAAAGAAAAAAGAAAAGGGTGGGAATGACACAGGAATCTCAGATGTGCTATTTCTTGCCATACGTATACTGCACTTCTGCTTTGGGTTTCAAGAGCAAAAGCCAATTCCTGAAAAGTGATCCACTGTTTGCTATTTAATAAAAGAAACATAAAAGGCGATGGTGCATTTATTTTTAACCGGTGATAAAAGCAACAAAGCCGTGATTACTCTGAACACAAGGCCAGCTCTGTGCTTTCCGTGAAAACCCAGAAGGAGGATGTCCTCCTCCTCCAGAGAGCCACGCCACACTCACCTGATTCAATACTGAACTCAAGACATCATCGTTCCAGAACACCCTGCATTAACAGATTCAGATGAATTAAAACATTACTTAATATCTTTAAGCAGAAAACTATATTTGCCAAAGTCGTTATCATTTGGTGCTATCAAGTGATCTTTTCTGGCTTTGGCAAGTTTCATCAAAAGGAATTCTCTTCTGTCCTTCCATTCCTTCAGCTCCTCATCTCCATGTGCCAGCTTACAAAGCTCCTCCTCCGTGCAGGTGCCCTTGAGGAACCTGGAGCGAATCGAAACCAATCCGTTAGCGACAGCTGTTAACTGTTAATGAGATATGAGTAGCGTCACACATTAGCATTAGACTGACCGTTCGCAAACTCTGAAGGTTCCTGTGGGGAAGCGATACTGCCAGCAGTTCTGATCGTCTTCAGAGTTGAACACTCGTTCTTTGTGCTTCTCGGAGGTGATATGCTGCTGCCACTGCTTATCACTGTTGCAGTTCTTTCCACACAACCAGCAATGGTTGCCAGCCTGATGAAACAGCATTTAGACGTTATGAGGAATGTATTCATGAAAAAAAGATCTGTGTGAGAATGAATTGTGGTGTTCAGTCACTTTCAGAAAAGAAAATGTGTAAAAATATAAAAAGTTAAGTTAAAAAAAATAAGTTACTACAGAATTCTTAAATATACACACATCGATGATATATTCTACACCTTCACAGATAAAGATTTTGAGATGAAATATGTTCAGTGAAACTGAAAGATTGAAGACTTGAGAGAAACTCTAATACAACCCTTATAAAGTATGGGGTCTATGAAATTCTTTAATGTTTTTGAAAGAAGTTCTTTAAAACAAGTTTTCTATTTGAATAGATGTTATGTATGTAATTTATTAAAGTGATGTCAAGCTGAATTTTCAGCATCATTACTCCAGTCTTCAGTGTCACATGATCTTCAGAAATCATTCTAATGTGCTGATTTGCTGCTCAAGAAACATTTATTATCATAGTATTATCAATGGTGAGAACAATTGTGCTGCTTAATATTTTTGCGGAAACAATAATGCATTTTTCTTCCAGGATTATTTGATAAACAGAAAGTTCAAAAGAACAATGTATTTGAAACAAATCTTTTGTAACATTAATTAATCAAAAGTGACCGTAAAGGAAATAATATGCAATTGCCAAATAAAAAATTTCATAAAATCTTGCTGATCGCAAATTTCTGACAGTGTATATTTATACATTTTTTTTTATAATGAATTCTATTAGTCATTAAAAAATGATCATATAAACGCTTATCCATGAACATTCAAATATAGATGAAAACTTCATAAATCATGTACTATAATGTAGCAAATGTTTTTAAATGTATTAATAAAAATTTATATAAATCATTAATGTGCCACACACAAACCACCTAAATAAAAGAGCGCTGAGTGTATGTGCCGTTCTCGACGGTCAGCGTGTTGCAATTTCCTTCACTACATGTACAGCACACTCCAAGATAGACCAAGGTTGAGTCAGAGTAAGACGAGCGTGATAATGATGTGTGGAAATATGGATGCTGTTCAAGTTTCCATACCACTTCCTCAGCATAGTCCGTGGGCATATGAATCTGTTTGCCATTCTCTCGGGTAGCGCTGCTGCTCTCCTCGCTCCAGCCCGGCTTCTGAGACTGCAGCCACATTTCATACAGCTGCTCCATGTCTGCAACTACATACACACAAACATAAACGAAAGGGATGCATGATAAATCAGTCACTACATCAGTATCTGTAAGCACTGAGGGCCAGTTGTTCAAAAAGTTCAGAATCGATCAGAATGATCTATATTTGGAAATCCCATGTTTTGCGATCCATGATCAGGTAATCAATCTTCTTTGCTAGTTTTTCCAAAGCAAAATTGGATCACAATAATCCAGATACACAGTTTTTCAGATGACAAAATCTGGATTACTAGTGCTCTATGGAGCCCCAAAAGGGACACGGTGATGGAAAAAATATACAGTGGGTACGGAAAGTATTCAGACCCCCTTAAATTTTTCACTCTTTGTTATATTGCAGCCATTTGCTAAAATCATTTAAGTTAATTTTTTTTCCTCAATGTACACACAGCACCCCATATTGACAGAAAAACACAGAATTGTTGGCATTTTTGCAGATTTATTAAAAAAGAAAAACTGAAATATGGGGGTCTGAATACTTTCCGTACCCACTGTATGAGATGGAAAAAAAAAATTTCATAAAAAAAAACAAATAAAAACATTTTACATTAAATATAATATTTCTGTTTGCTATTGACATCTGATTATTTTATGGCACCAAAATCTCTTTTTAATTTACTGTAGGCTACTGAAAGGCTTAAGAGGTAGCCTCCTAATGTCTAACAGTCTTATGTATGCATACATATACATATACACATACACATATACACATACACATATATATATATATATATATATATATATATATGTGTATGGGTGTGTATATATTACAAATGTTGTATTTTTGAACCG